GGTGGCCCTTCCTCAGGACCCAGTTTTGAGGAAGGGTCACCGGACCCGAAGCGTTAACTCTGCTTTCTCCTTCACAGACGTTGCCAGACTTGCTGAGCTTTCCCAGCACTTTGTTTTTGTTCCTGATTTACAGCATCCGCAGTTCTTTTTGGTTTCTTTTTTTTGCTTTTTGAAAAATATTCTGCTATTTAAGATGAACAACCAACTGTACTCCACGTGGTACTGCATCTGCCTCCTTGCTTTCCATTCACTTAACCTACCTTTTATCTTTTTGCATCACAATACAACCAAGAACTGTGAATGCTGGAAATCTGAAAGAACAACAAAAATTGCTGGGGAAACTCAGCAGGTCTGGCAGCATCTGTGGCGAGAAAGCAGAGTTAACGTTTTGGGTCCAGTGACACTTCTTCAGATTTGAACTCGAATCGTTAACTCTGTTTCTGTCCATAGATGTTTCAGACCTCCTCAGTTTCTCCAGCATTTCGTGTTTTTGTTTTAGCTTTTAGCAGCCTCTTTATGTCCTTGTCGCAACTTTCATTCCCACCTCGTTTTGTAACATCAGTAGCTGTTAGATATATTCTCGATCTGTTTGTTGAAGTCATTTATAAAGAGTGTAGGTAGCTGAAACTCCAGCAGTGATCCTTGAGGCACTCTACTAGCTAGAGTGTGCCAACATGAAAATTTATCCCTACTGTCTGCTGCTAGTCCATTGACCAATCTTCCACCTGTGCTAATATATTAAACCTTACGTAATCTTGTTTGATTGAATTTTGTTTGGAATCTTTTGGAAAGCTTGTTGTACATTGTATACAAGTATATTCCATCTGCTAGTTCTCTCTCATTTACCCTCGGTTACATTCTGAAAAAATCTAATAAATTTCTTCAATGCAATTTCCCATTGTTTTATAAATGTTGACTTTGACTTTGTGCATTATTGAGATACTTGTAACAGTAGATTCCAGCATTTTTCCAGTAACTGACTTTTGTCATCTTTCCCTCCTTTTCTTGAACAGTCACATTACATTTGGTAACTTTCAATCAGCTGGGTCTATTCTAGAATCGACAGAATGTTAGAAAATCCCAACCAGCATTTTCACTATCTTAGTAGCTAGCTCTTTTGGAACCATAGAGCGCAAGCCATCAAGTTCTGAAATTGCTTTGGACTTTGGTCTCTGAAATTTCTCCAATGTTTTCTGTGCTGACATTATTTACCTTAAGATCCTCTGTATTATCAGCCCCTAGGTTATTGTCTATTTTTGCTGTTTGTGTCTTCTACAGGGAAAACAGTATTCCAAATAATTGTTCAAAATCTTTGGCATTTCTTCAGTTGTCACTTCTCCTGTCTCTCCCTGGAAATAATGAATGTTTTCCCAACTTTCTATATTGTAAAGGTGCTTACAATTTAAAAAAAAAAATTCCTGTCTTGTTCAGTTTCATTCTTTTATTTCCTCTTTTATCAGTCATTTTTTTTTGCTGCTTGCTAAACACTCACTCCATCTTCTCAGGCTTTCCATTGTTCTTTGCTCTTTTATAATCTTCTCGTTTAATCTAATGGTACCCTTAACTTTTTTTATTTGAGATGGATCTTTCTTGCTGACTTTTTGGTTTTTAATGGAATGTGTTTTTGTTGAGCATTTTAAATTGTTTAAATGTTTCAACTTTATTTATTGCTATACCTGTTCATCTGTTTACCCTAGCCAGTTTTTGTTAGCTATTTCCTTGTATCTTCTTGATAAATTTTGTTTAAGTTCAAGTTCATTGTTTGGGACTGAAGTATGTTGCTTTTGGTTCTGATGTGGAACTCAGCTTCTTCCAAAGGATCTTTTTCTGTTGAATTGCAGATTAAATCTGCCACTTGCAATATGTTAGATTCTTCTGTTCCTCTATTTTGAATCCAATCCACTCCAGCCTATCCCAGGCAGTACTAACGATGACGATAACCACAGTAAGCAGTATAATGTATCCTTGCCCTCTCCAGAATCAATGGATTAGTTTTTGAATTGTGGTCACTGTTAGTAACCAAACATGACAGTCAATTTTCGTGATGACAATCCTTTTTATGGATTATTCAGAAAAATTAAAACCTGCCAGATGAAGAAGAAATCTTTTTCTCTTAAAGATAGTGGAAAAATTTTGTATATGTAAAAGACACACTTGATGTAACAGTGGAACTCCCAATGAAGGACTTCCAAAGTGTAATTATTTTGATGTAGGATTTATTGCCTTGTATAGATCAGTATCAAGTCTGGCATTATAATCTTTGTGTAAAGTGCCTTGGGAAAATGTTATTTCATTAAAGGTGCTATGTAAGTAGAAGTTGGTTATTGTTGTACAAACGTACAATCAGGGTTGCGTGACAATAAGATTACAGTGCAGTATGACTACTGCTTAATTGTTTTGGATTTACTTCACTTATTGGTTTTAATATGTCATCTCTCTCATTTAGATCAAGATTGGAAGTCTGCTAGGAAGCAATGCTCCTCAGTTCAGCATATATTACAGCCCATGGATGTCAAGGTGCAGCTATCTAGAGCCATAGTGGAGAAAGATACCAGAATCCCGAAGTATGTTCAGTTGTGGTTTTGTTTCAGTCTGTAACAAAGAGCTAAAATTTCCAGTGGCGCTAACAAAATGTATGGTGCATTATATTGGCACCGAGATGTCTGTGTCGCTGTGCTTGTGTTATTGTGCTTATGCTAATGGTTTATGTATTAGCAGCAGTGTTGGAGGATTTAATAGTTATGTTAATTTACGAGGAAGAGACTTCTTGATCTGAAGCAAACAGTTGGAGGTGTTGCAATGATTTTTCTGAAATGTAAATGATTACATTGAACACCAACATATAACAAAGCATGAAATGGGGTGTGGATGGGTTACCATTGATCAGAAATTGAACTGGACCAGCTGTATTAGTACTGTGGCGACAAGGGCTAGTCAGAGGCCAGGAATTTTGTGGTGAGAAATTTACCTTCTGCTTTCCCAAAGCCTGCCCATAGTCTGCAAGGGACAAAATTCCCACTTCCTAATTGAGTGCAGCCCCAATAACACTCAAAAAGCTTGACACCAACCAGGGCAAAGTAACCCACATGATTGGTACTACATCCACCACCTTCAACATTGATTCCCTTCATCATTGGACAGTAGCAATGTGTGTACCATCTCCCAGGATGCACTGCATTCACTCACCAAAAGTATCTGACACCATCTCCCAAACCCCTAACTTCTGCTACCTAGCAGAACAAGAACAGCAGATGGATGGACCGTCACTTGCAGATTCTGTGCCAAGGCACTCTTGATTCTGACTTGAAAGCATATTTCCATTCCACCACTGTAGTTTGGTCCAAGTCCTGGAATTCTCTCCCTGACAATATTGAGTGTATTTCTACACCACGTAGACTGCAGTGGTTTAAGAACACAACTGACTTTCACTTTTTCCAGGGCAAATAAGGATGGACAATAAATGTTGGCCCAGCCAGTGCCGCCCACATACCAATGAGAAGGACATTACAGTGGAGGAGAGGAAAGAATGGAAGAAAACTGTTGTTGTTGGAAGTTGATATCTTTGAAACTGCTTTCTAGTTCTGTTGTGACAGAGGCAAAGAACCTATACCACTGGCATAGATCATTTTACCTCAAACATCTTGTAACAAAATTAAGTCAGCTGCTTGGTTATGATACAACTTGAAAGTCTGGATTTGAAGTATTATTGTTAATCTTCTCTGAACCTTCTGACACATCAGCACCTCACTTGAAAGCAAATGCTCAGATGTGGGCTATACATGTTTTAACTAATATTAGGTATTATTTGAGTAGCTTAGTTGGTGGCTTTGATTCAGCTTGCATGTTAAATGATGGATATGCCCATGTTAATTTCTAGGTCTTGTTAATGGGCACTGTCCTGTTACAATGCTGAGGGATAGTTGCCGGTAGTGCAGGTTCTGTGGCTTGGATTGGAACAAGAAACTGGCGATCACCATTTCAGAGTGATCAGCTTCAAACCAGACTCAATGAAAATTTTAACTTGACTTTGCCCCACTTAATGGTCATTTCCTACTCTATGCTTTGCTAAGTACAGATTGACCATAACAATGTACATTTACTTTTATCTGTATGAAAATCCATTGCTGCTCTTCAGGTCATGAGCTTTCCTCCCTGCACTTTTGCATGTTGTATTGCTCTTTAACTTCTCACCTAGTCCCAAGGATAAATGTTCATATATTTGAAAAGGTAACATTTGGAGGTTCTACATATAGCACATTGCTTTGTCACTGTGCAAAGTTCAGATTGTGCTAGCTTTATCTTGGTGCCACATCTGTATCATTTTAAAACAATGTTTGTGTAGCTTTTTACAAGCTTTGCCAGTGACATTATTACCAAACCCAGGAAGGCCATCTATCCAGCCGTCTGTCTCTCCCCCATCTAACTGCCCCACCCACAATGCCTCCTTGCCTTTTCCTCACTCCTGTTCATGACCCATGCCTTACATTCCATACACAGAATTTGCATGACCCAGCACTTGCAGCCCATTGCTGCAAATTTCAAAGCCGATGGTTCGGGTGTGCTGCTAACTGCTAGGCAAGCACCTCTGACCTGATGTATCTTGCAAGCCATTTTGTTTGTGTGCTGCTTTATCTTAAAAGCTGTGGGTCCAGTAATTGAAATAGCACAGTGCAATAATTATCTAGGCCGTGGATTTGCAGGTTTTTGGAAAAATGAGTAATCACAACTTTTTACTTTCAGGCATTGATTTTGAAAAATCACATGTTACATAATTGCAATAGAGTTTATTTCATTCAGTGATATATTGATTTCACGACACACAAAGACTTGTTGTTCAAAATAGTGGACTAGATTTTAATACCTGACTGCTTGAATTATGCCAAATTTGTGTGGATTATACCCTGAGTGCACAGATTCACCTGAAGTTCATTCCACTTCTCCTAGCCCTGCAACAAGAACCACAAATTTGGCTTGAGTTATCTTGCAGGCTTGGCCACTAACTAATACTGAATGGATTGTGTGCAGCAGACTCTCCATGTGGTACTCTTTTTCACAATGACCATTGTCATCCTTTGCATGTCATAGGAGTCTGATTTTGCATTTTAAATGAGTCTCTCATCTAGTGTGAAGTCACCCTGGTAGAAATGTGATGGTAGAAATCTCTCCATAAATGATTCACTGCCATTATTGGGATGCACCCTCCTTTTACCTACTCCAATCAAGTATCTAATATGCTGTGTCTGCAGTTAATTATTTGACGCAGTTATAGGTTAGGTGTGATTTGAGAATTTCAGTACAGACAAATTATAACAAATGTTTGTTTTTCAGGTTTAAAGTCTCTGGTGAACTCCCTTTACTCCATGTCAGAATGTCAGATCAAAAAATCAAAAGTGTTTTTGAGATCGCTGATAGCATTCCCTTACCTCTGAGCTCATCCTCCAGATCTCCCATGAAAGCCAAGGTTGGTGTGATGACTTATGCTTTTGATTGCACTACATTAATGATACTAATAGAGAATCTTTGTCTCTGATTCTCAGCAGCTTGTGTCCTCTCAGAAATTTATATTTCAAAAAGTGTATATCATTTTGAATCACCTTTCCTTGTGCAAATGTTTCTTGTCCATTGATACTTGACTATTGTTTTCTGCATTATGCAGTCTTGACAGTCACTTTTTTTTCTCCTATTTTGCTATTTTCATGTTATAATCTGTTCCTTATCTGTCGACAGTGTGTTTTAAATTTTTGACATTGCAGGAAAATTGATAGGACCCCAACAACAATGTTAAAGTCAAGAAACGGTAAAATTACAAAGCTCCCACATGTTGCCATGTGTTCTGCATATCAAACAGTTGGAGCAAAATCACATAGTTGTTTCATCTGGAATATTTAAGTAAATGCACTACTTATGAGCTTAGCTATTGTTAAATCTTTCGTAGCAGTTGAAAAAAGGGAGTGGAAGTCAATCTACTCAATTAGATTTACTCTCAAAGTGAGACAAATATATAAAAATGTATAGCTCGTAAATCTGCAATGTACAACCAATGTAAGTATGTGTCTCTTTTTAAATGTGCTGAAGTGAATGCCCAGTGAGTGGTCCCCACCCCTGCCTGGCCCCAAGGGTATACTTTACCTTAACCTGTGCAATGAACATATTGTTTTTTTTACTGTGCCCTAGATATGCAGCATGTTGCTCTTGAAATGCATCAAGAAACTTGGTCATTATTTTCTTCACACTAGCTTCATCGTAGGAACTCAGTAGTTTTGCATGCTGAGCGTTCTGAAGTAGCTAAATTTTATTGCTGTCCCTTTCTGAAGCGATCTTTATTTGTCTTGTAATGATCTGAATTCTCGCCAAACAATTCCTATTATAGAAGTTATTCAGTCAGTTTTTATTTTAAACATGTTCAAAATCAATCTTGTTGGAAATGAGTGTCTTAAACCACCTTCTATTTTAGCCCGTGATTTTGGAGTGATATTTAAGAAGAACTCTGTTCGTGGTCTAAATAGACCTTAAATAGCTTGATATTGAAACTGTTTTTTGCATTCAGTCTTCAGTTTAGACTTGTATATTCAGTCATTGTCCCTTGTTCAAATAATAAGAGCTTACGTAGTTTGTATATTTTTGTTGATAGATATCATTGGCTGCAAAACCAAGGAAGTTGTTTGACCCTCATCTGGTAGCTGTTGGTTCTGCAGCATCATTGGAAGGAGATGATTCAAGTAAGCCCCATGGCTTTACTGTTGCACATTCCTGTATTCTCAAATTGCTTTTTTTTTTTGTTTCCCTACTAAAAATATTTATCAAAAATGAAAATTTTATATTTAAAATGCTTCTATAAAGCATAAGATGCTTGCCAAGATTTGAATGAGTAATACTAATAGTTATTTAATTCTGTGCTTCCTCCAGTTATACTTTTGAAAATGTGTGCATTGATTTGCAGTTTTGCATTGTACTTTTCTCATTTATGGAGATCTTTCCAATATCTCTAAGGTACAAATTTCAAAGGGACACCTTTATAATATAGTTTATTGCAAAATTCAGGCTACAGAATGTCAGCCTTTTTCAGGAGACTAAGAATGTTTAAACATGAATGGGAATAAAAACCTTCCAGCCCGTTAAGCTGTTCATAATTGTTTTGAGTGTACTACACCACAGTGTGTTCAATGCAAGGTTAATTTATTTTGACCATTTTTTTTCCTTTGTTCCCTACTACTTCCAGAATGCTTTTTGTGTCCTCAGACATTTACGAAAAGGATGCCAAGTATTTGTTTAATATTTCTGCCATATCTTTATTCTTTGTTATAATTTTTCTTGTCTTTTTCCTGTCTTTTTCTTTAGGGGATTTTTTTTTTGCTTTTAGTACTCTTTCTTTTTATATTCCCGTCAAAAATCATGTTTGTCTCTTTCTGGTTTATTTTCCTATTTTATTTCCCCACTCTCTATGTGGCTAATTTTAGCTGAATTCTGAAATCCTCCCACTCTTCAGGCTTGTATTTTGATAACATTATAAACCTGTTTTTTCCTTGAATTAATAGAATACTGTCTTTTAACAGCTTGACTTGTGCTATTGTCATGGATTGATGATGGCAATCTAAGAACAGGAAGAAGTGATTGGACATCTTGAGTCTTTTTGGACCTTTAATTGGAGCAATGGCTGATCTACATTTTAATTCCTTCTTACTCATTTTGTTTCTGTAACCTTGAATATGTTTAATGTCTCTACTAAATTAATGTATTGGCAGATACAGTTTTGAATTTTTCAATTGCCCTTGCCTCAACAGGCTTTTACGAGAGCGAGGTGAGAGAGAGAGAAAGTGTTCCACGCTTCTAATGTCCTTTGTATGAAGAAATCCTTCCTGACATCACCCCTAAACATCTTACCAAACGAGTTTTAAGGGCATCTTCCTCCCTCATGCAATAATGCCATTCAGGAAAAGAAGTGTGAGAGAGAGCACTTCAGGCCATTTAGCCTGGCATTAGAACATAGAGCTGTATAGCACTGGAACAGGCTCTTTGGTACACGATGTTGTGCCAAATATGACGCTAAATGAAACTAATCCCTTCTGTCTGGCTTGGTCCATACCCATTAGTCGTCTTGAAAATGTTGGAATCCACATTTACGGATCAGATCATTTATGGTTTTCTATGGTTGCCCAGAAACAGCATTGTTTAGGAAACAAAAGTCATTTTTGACACATCTATAAAAGTTATTTGAAGTTGTGCAGATAAAGTCAGAAATCACACAACACCAGGTTATAGTCCAACATGCTTATTCAGAGTGTAGCCCCTTTGTCAGGTCTAAGACTAAGGGAAAAAGGCTGAGGATATGGGGGCAGAGATAGTAGGAACTGCAGATGCTGAAGAATCTGAGATAACAAGGTGTAGAGCTGGATGAA